ACTGTGTTGAGGAACGCCGTGAAGGTGATCGTTCCGTTCTACTCCGAAACCGCTACGAGTGAAAGGGCGGCGGCGTTTTGGCGTTCCTTCGAGAAGTGCACGCATGGTATGGACGACCAGATGAGGTTGACGGCGTTCGAGCAGTGCCTTAAGGGTAAGATTGGTCAAGAGTGGTGGTACAACTCCAGGATCGAGAGTTTCGAAGCTCTGAGAGTGCGGTTCCACAATCGGTTTATATGCCAGACTCCGGCACAACTGTGGAGCCGACTCAAGACCGCCAAGAGGAATCGTGGTGAGTCTGCCGAGGAGTGGGGGGATAGGATCTCGACTATGTGTGAGGCCTTGAACTACCATGAACCTCGTATGAGGTACGAGTTCTTCCTGGATGGCCTACGTAACAAGCAAATGAAGACGGTATTGAACGCGAGTATGGTCGCGTCGATTCCTGAAGCGTGTGCGCTACTGCTGTACAAGAACCTGCACCTCCCTGTCGAGGAAGAAGGCGAGTTCGCGGGCGAAGTCGCGGGTCAACTAAGGGCAAATGGAGCGGCTTCGACGGAGACCCAAGTCCTCCAGGAGCTACGTCAGATGAATCAGCTGACGCGGACGCAACAGCTAGGGCCAGAAACGCCGAGAGGGCGAGTAAGCGCTGTGGCTCCTCCGACTCCTCCGCACGACGGCGTTCCAGTGGTGAGCAGGAACGCCACAGGTTCGGCGTTCGGGCCTCTACGCATTCGTCTTGGACCTGACACGCGCACTACCGAGGGTGAAGTGGTCTGTGGTCGCTGCGGTCGCATAGGGTGTAGCCGCGAAACTTGCCCAAGAGGACAAGGCCGTTGTAACAGGTGCAACGAACTGGGTCATTACTCGATGGAATGCAACAGGCCGAAGCCTCAAGGCAACTACCGGAACGGGGAACGCCGACGGTTGGAGTGTTTCCTCTGTGGTGGAGGGGACCACATGGTGGCAAAGTGTCCTAGCCTCGAGAGACTGCGTGGCGCCGTGCGAAACGCGACAGTGGGAACGTCCACCGGCGTGTCTCAACAGTGAAGGGGGCAGGAGGAAGGGGAAGGGAGTGCCGCTCCTTCCTCTTGCCTGGCTGGCGGCGCGGAGGGACCTGAGGGCTCACCAACCATGTCTGGTGAGGGCAAGGAGGCTCTGGTGGAACGTGGGAAAAATTACAAAGGCGCTCGTGGTGTCGCGAGCGTAAGGACGGAAACTGTGGATATCGAAACTGGAACGAATGAAAAAAGCAGTCCAACGGAACGGACTGGCTCAGAACGAGACGGGGAGATTAAGGGCTCTACGGAGAGGCCCAAACGAGGAAGAGTGGGAACGGCGGAGGCAACGGAACGCCACGACGTGGCCCAGGACTGGGAGACAAGGGCAACGGAACGTCCAAGACGGGTACAGAACGCCGACAGAGGAGCTACGGAACGCTCAGAGGCCGCGTTGAAGCCCCAGGGGGAAATTGAGGAACGAGAGAAGACGGTAGAAGAGACCG